ACGATATAATGCAATAATTATTAGATGATAGGCTTGAATATTTTATAGGGTTAAGCATTATCACATTTTCTTTCCCTCAATATGCACAGCTTGAATATTCTAAAATTTTGAAACAAAATTATATGGGCGTTACTAATGTAATTCCGTTGACTTGATTTCACATTGGAATGAATGAATTGTATGTATACATAAATACATACATATATGTTGTACGAAAATGAATGAATTGAATGGGCCAAAATGATACCTCTAAGATCTATATGGGCTCAAGTAAAACCAATTCAAACTCTGGACTCTCTCTGTAAATATTGGTGATAAATAATTGCAGCACAATAATCCCAAAACTCCAAGCTCAAACGGCATCGCTTACGGTGCTTCTCAACTCCCCTTGCAAGCCCTAGTGAACTAGAGAGCAAATTCGATAAAATCCTCCACAGAAAGGGGAGTGTAAAATCAAAATCGACGAAAGAATGGCGATATCGGGAGATTTGAGGGTCTCTGCAGCTATGGTTCCTTACAAATCCAAACCCCTTTGCACCTCACTGCACTTACCTCCTTCCAAGGTTCGTTTCGTCCTTACTTTCCTTATTGGTGCGCTTCTTAACTTTCGTTTTATCTTTGCGTGGATTTCATGTTGTGATGATGGTGTCGGGAAATTGCAACAATGCAAGAAGAGTCGTTGAGGCTATTGGTGTTTTTCGTTTTCGGGCTTAAGTTTTAATGGATATTTTTAGGGACAATCCAGGATTCAAGTTCACTTGATGAAGTTCAAGATTTATCCTTCCAACTTTGTGATTTACTGTTGAAGGTGAACAAAAATATTGAAAACTCCATTGCTACACTGGAATATGATTTTATATACAGTAAAAAACTGAGTTAATTTTCAACCCCATAAATACTCAAAATATACATACATACCATGAATTGTGTGAAAAGTTTGTGCAAAAAAGCAGTTATACTTACATAATTAAGGCCATCTCCAACCACAACACCATTCCACCATTTTGCACCATTTTTTGGTGCAAAATTGCTCCAACCCAACACCAAACTTTGCACCATTTTGCACCAAAATGGTGCAAGTGTAAAATGCCAATTTTACCCTTATTTTACATTTCTCAAATAAATTTGTTGAGGGTATTTATGTAATTTGTGCTATATATTTTTTAATACAATAAATTATTATTATTTTTATTTATATTAATAATTATTTGTGTTTAAAATAAATTTTAAATGTAAGACATAATAATTAATTAATTAATTAAAAGACGAAAATAATTTAAAATACATCAAACACGATTAATTAATTATTTATTTAGTAATTTATGTATTTTTGAAATGATTAAATAAATAATATTTTAAATAAGTAGATTATAAAGAATAAAAAAAGGGAAGAAAATGGTTAAATACTGTTCATTTGGTGTAATTTTTGGTGTAATGGTTGGAGATGAATTTTAGTTTGGTGCAAGATTTGGTGCAAAATTTGGTGTAAAATGGTGCAAAATTTGGTGTTGGGTTGGAGATGGCCTAAGGTAACCAATAAAAACAAAATGAGATTTGTAGTATATCAGCTCTTAAACAAGAGGATAGTTTGAAGATTGCTAGGAGACAATGGAATGCAATTAGAAGTAAGAAAAAGGAATGTAATATGATCAAAATACTATCACAAATCAATTTCCAATCGCATACATTATATTATAGATTTTTAGCCGATGATTGAGACCCATTTTTGGCATATTAAATGTTCGAATTGGTTTTACTTGAGGGACAGCTTAGTGGTCAGGTCTTGGGTTTGTTCCCTAATAGTCACTAGTTCGAGTTTCTCAGGGCTACTAAGGTGAGCACTCGGTTGTAAATTTCAGGGTCTCGTGGAATTAGTTGAAGTGCGCATAAGTTGGTCCGGACACCCACGGTCATAAAAAAAAATGTTCGAATTGGTAAAATTCTATATCTAAAAAAGTTGTAGCCCGTTGAGTCAGCTTTCGAACAAACTTTGAATCGCCTTAATTGAATATTGAAAAAGAAAGTTATGAAAAAAATATTGATTACGAGAAAAAACGTACTTGAATCGATTGGAACTCTTTTCGAAACCAATTTGACCATGATTTTTAACCAATTTTTTATTCCTACAAATACCTAACAGAAAAATCCATATTAGTGATCTCTCATATACATCTCATACTACGATATTCTATCAATTTTCATCATAAAATAGGGGCAAAATCATATAATGTGAGAATCTTCCAGAGGTGATGTTCAAAAACTCATCAATTGGAGATTGAACTGGTGATTTGTGGGCAAAGAAGTGTAAGAATTATTTAAGATTTATCAAGATTGCTTTGAAGAAATTCGAGAACATCAAGATTCATCTTTCTTCATTCATTAATTCACAATTCCAGGTGATGTTCTGTACATTTAACATGCTTTCTTAGAATTCAAATATACTAGGCTAGTTTATACATTGCTAAAATGATATGAATCCTTGTTATGATATTTTTTGCTTTTAATTAATTATTTTAACTTTATTTTGGTTCGATTTGTGGATTTTTATTATCTTTATTAATTATTATTTTTTTGTTTTTCAATTGCTTGATCACCAATTTAATTCTTAATGAATTCTATGTTATCGAGAGAGACAATAGGGTTTAAGCACAATACAATAAACATCATAAGGTTTGATAGATGATAGAAATATACTTACATGCTTTCAATAGGTGTTCTAGCACTTAAAAATGTATTTATCATTTTGTATCTTTTATCGGGGATAGAATGGTCATATCAGAGGAATAGATTTGATCCATATCGAGAGAGACTTTCAATTAAATTAGAAACATTGATCAATATGAATGATTTCAAATTGTCAGATTAATTACACAAAAAAAAAAAAATAATAATAATAATAATAAAGGGGATACGACATCATAGCAGTGCATTACACATATTTGAAAAACACATTTACTTGTTTTAACTATTTTAATTGATAATTTAGGAATTAATATAGGAAAATCACAACGTATTTTTGGGTGTCAACGGTTGAGCCGGCTCGAGCTTTTTTTGGCCCGAGCTGAGTAGAGCAGAGCAAAAGCTCGGCCAAAAAATCGAGGTAGTTGCCTTTGTAAAGGTAGATAGCCTTTGCAAAGGCTTTATTTATTTTTTTTATTTATTTTTAAAATTTCGAGTCGGCCTTGGCCCGCGAGCCATACGGGCCGGCTCGAGCCCGTGAGCCAATTTTTCATCCTTGACTTATTTGTTATTTAATTAAAATTGCAATTAATTTTAACTCGGTCAAACACACAGTGCTTGAGGTTTCGACACTATATTCACTGCTTAATTACTTGTTCACGATCTCATTCACTTGTGAAAAATCAAACTTTCAAGCTCAATTTATGGGGGTTACTAATGCAATAATTAGCAGTTAAGGGCTGATGAGAAGGATGGACTACCCATCGACAAATTTATTTTTAACATCAACAATCGATACTAAAAATTTATTTCTAGATTATACGATGAAAATGAATAAAAAAATAACATTCAAAATATGACTAAATTTGTCATTACTAAAACTCCACGTGCATCACACGTGCTAGCAACTGGTATGCATACTTTATGTTACAACACTTTGTCACGTGTGATTGAATAAATTTGTTGGAATTATTGGGGATCTAGTGTGTTGGAGTTTTGGTGGTTTTCTCCCATTCTAGAGAAAAGGGAGAGCATTTGGGGTAGAGAGAGAGAGAGAGAGGGAGAGAGAGAGGGTAAGAGGGTGAGAATAGTTTGGGTTTGGTTTAGGGGCTTTTTTTTGGCAAATACTACTGGTGTGACTTATTTTATATAATAAAAAGCTATAATACAAATAAAGTAGGGGGCATAGACTTGACCTCCAGTTTTGCACTGAGTCGGCTTTAGTGTGATTGTTATTACTTAATTTCACATAACATAGCCATTGCCATCTCTGAGATATTGTTGTGTCAAAAATTACTCTTTAGAATCTATCATAAATAAAAGGGAAGAAAATTGGGTTGCTTCCCAATTAATGCTTTCTGCGGATGTGTTCAATTGTACCATAACTCTTCATTTTTTCAGTTACAATTGTCCATTTATTAAAGTTGAAAAATTCTAATCTATTGTGAATCTCACATCACTACTACAAGCAACTAATTACCTAAGTGGATCAAAAAAAAGTTCGTATCATAAAAGGAAAGTTGACCATGTGGAGCCGGAAAAACTTCATGCCCACACATGATATATCTGCTTGCCTACGCATGGGTAAGAATAAAATTGACCGTGGGTGTAGAAAAGTTGCCTCTTGTGCAAGCAAGGGCGTGTGCATGGTGAAAAAAAAAAAAACAATGATGTCGATTTTTCATTCCTTCCTTCCAATTACACTTCAACTCATTGAGTTTTACCTAACAAACAATAAATACATGAAATTAGGTCATAATTAATCATAAAAACTCCTAAATGTCTATATTTAAAGGCCTAGACACCTATCAAGAGGGAAGCATGGAGAATGTGGAAGGATGTGCAGCACATTCATGAAAAAGAGATTAGTATGAAAAAAAAGTAATGTTATATGATGTTTATAAATGAAAAATAAAAATGAGTCATGTTTTACTTTGACCCTTAAAATTTAGTTACTTGAAAAGTTCATCAAAATTCTTGTTTGTTCATGCTTAAAAGCTATATTCACTTTAGGCACCGTTCTATAGGTGATATTGATTTATTCCTGGATGTCTACTGAATAGACGTTGGTCAGCCCGTTGTTGCCGGTGTAGGCGTGTTGGGTGGTCCCGTTTGTAGGTTTGGTAAGAATCAGTCTATCCTATTTTACTGTTTTTATTGTGAAAATTATTTTTGATTTCATTATATTCAATTATGTCTTCAGTCTCAAATTGGCTAGGGAGATCTAGGTCTAGAAATAGACAAAATTCAAATTAAATTAGAACAAATATTTTTCAAACAGAATAAAACAAATATTTTTCAAACAGAAGAAGAAATTGATAATGCATCAACATCAGAGGACTTCAACTCAAATGAACTTCAAATTGCACAAATTGAACAACATTTTAGGTTTTGGTCCTTTTGCACGGTTCCTGGCAAAAACCATGGTAAAACAAGGCCATTCCATAAGGGCCACATCAAGATCAGACTACACAGACCTCTGCATTCACTTGGGCGCCCTATTTTTCAGGTATAAGATATATTCAAAGTTTTCCAAAAACCATGTAAATTTTCCAAAACACAGTTTGCTGATAAGCTAAAATGTACACACGTCTACGAAGGAACGGAGATATGACTGCGTTTCTTGAATCAAACAACGATGTTATACTGCTATGCGCATCGATCCTGTCAGTGTCAAAAGTCATCAAGTCAATTCCATTCCATGCCTTGAAGCAGCCTGCACTTTTCGCCGATGTACTCTCAGTTAAAGAGTACCCAAGAGACCTGCTGCTCCAAGTATATATGCAAATTTCTTAATGTTTCAATACAAATGACCTCTATTATTTTATTTATTTATTTATTTATTTCATATATTTATTTTTGGCTCTTAACCTAATATGGGTCGCAATATAATGTTTCATAAATGTCGTGCCTCAAGATTCGGATGTGCTCTGCACTCACCCGATGTTCGGGCCGGAGAGCGGGAAAGATGGTTGGAAAGACTTGACTTTTATGTTTGATAGAGTTCGAATAAGAAATGTAGTTACATGCTCCAGTTTCCTTCGAAATTTTGCAAGAGAGGTAAGCACTAATTTCTTGTAGCAGATTTCAGTAGTAAAGAGTTTTAATATCCTTTATCAACACAAAAACCAAGTTTCCTATAATCCTCATTGAACCCATGTAAAACATTAATAATACTGTACAACATAACAGCTCAAATTCAAGGCCAACTACTCTAAAAGGGTTATTAAAAATTTAATTCCAAATTAATAATTAATTTTAACAACACATCTCATTGGACTCACAATTTTTTATCAAATTTTCAACTACATATTTCATTGGTCCAAATCAAGTTAATTTTGTTGAGTTAAAGAACAAGGGGTCTCTTTTTAATGGTCAAGGTGAAGTGACGACATTTTCTTTATATATATAAGAGCAATCGATTTAATTAAAGAAAAAAAATTTATATTTGGTGACATGTTGAACATCGAGGCTAACTTTTAGAATTGAATTCTCTAATGTTTGTATTCAAGTGAAGTAGAGTAATATGCAAATATAGGAATGTTTGAGGATTGTTTCAAGTGATGAATAGATAAAATAAGCCAATGGAGTGTGTGTGTGTGAAAAGGGGGCCTCGTCAGATACTTTTATAAAGATTCGTTCCAAATTGACAGTTCCCTCAACCTCATCCAGAGCGCTCTCTCATAATCTACTTATCCAGATGTAGATGATAAGCAAGTTGCCTTGTCATAATTAGCTAAACAATTATTCTCCTAAAAGGAATGTCGTGTAGATGGGTGAGCTGTTAAATCATTTTATTAGCATGTTATATGAGTATTAAATATTTCAAAATATTTAAAGTTATTTTTTTAAAGCAATAAGAAAGTATTTAGGTGATTTTACCCTAGTTTGCACTTTTGTGAATGTGTTTCCACGGTGTATAATCCTATATGGTTATTTTACCCACTCTATATTGGTGTGAATGTATTTCCACAGTGTATAATCAGTTATGATGATTTTATCCGCTCTACACTATTGTGAATGTGTTTCTATAGTGTATGACTAGATTATAACCTTTTGGGTAGCTCTACGCGCGTATGACCAGAATTACAGAATTTTATAATCTCAGAATTTTCGAATTATCAGAATTGAATAGCTTTGTCATGTATATCAGTATTAATCAATACATGAGTAGGGCTATTTTAGGTACATTTTTGTTGCGACTTTTCAATATCATGCAGCTTATCAAATTTCAGATCACAGAATTTAACTTATTCAACTTAAAAAATGAAGATTTTAGCTTATATTACGAAGAAAGAATATTTATATTATATACATTTTTCAGAATGTTGGTTTAAATGGAAAAAGTATATTTATTTGGAAAATATCCACTCATTGAGTTACAAACTCATATATTTTGTCATCCTTTTCTTAACGATAGTAGCTGAGTTGAGCAGCATTGGAGCATGTTGATTTATCGAGTTGAGCCATACATTCGTTATTTGTCCGATTCATCTTGTTAGTTTATATAGTTCATATTTTTGGGATACATGAATTTTTACCAGAAAAAGTATCTATATAATGGGTTCACTGCATATTTTTGTATATGTTGTGTATTTGGAGTCGTCTGGTTAAAGGATGTAAATTTCATTCCAATGCATTTTAATTTGAATAGTTGGTATTCTAAGGGGTTGGTATACCCTGTTTTTATCTTATATGTATTGATTTTAGAAAATTGATTATTGTTCAGGTCCTTTTAGTCAATATTTTAGATGAAATTCTATCAATTTTTTTTAAAAATTCATTACAGTTAAAGCAGATTAAAATTGCCTTGGTAGTGGGTTCAGTACTTCGTTGGTATCTACCATCGACGCACGACACGTGTCGGGTCCACTAGGGTAATTTGGGACTGGTCATGTCATGTACGCTTATAACTATCATTATTTTTATGTTTCTTATGTTCTCTTTACAATAATATTTAATTCATTTAGTACTATTGTAATTAATATATGCTCCTTCATATTTTAATTATGGTTATACTGAATTGGTTTTGCAAGCAAGATGACACGAACTAGAGGAGGCTATAAATATAGTAAATCAAGTTACGAGAGATCCACAAGGGATGGTGGTAAGAGATCCACAAGCTACGATTATTGATATTGTGAGGCTAATATTTCCAATGATGATATGGAAAATGAGGATATAGATGAACCATTGTATCAAGAAGACATGCTATCTAGATCTAATAATTGGGCTAGCACGGTCATAGGTAATCTTAAATATACATTTATTGAGCATTGTGAAAGATGTGTGTAAATGGGCTGCACTTTATGTGTTCAGAATTATTTTTAGATATAAGCTTCAGCTACACATTCTTAAAAAACAAAAAGAGCTACCAATAACTATTAAAAGATGCTAATTGCTTAGCAACAAATTTAACTATTGTTGTTTTGAAATGGTTTTGCAAGCATTATGTCACCAACTAGTGAAGGATATACTGGCCAAGCAAGTCAACAGGGATCTATACAATATGGTGATGGGGGATCTGTATTTGATGGATATGGTAATCGTGCAGCTAATATTTCCAATCATAAGGTCAAAGACGAGCTCATGGATGATGAACTTTATCAAGAACATATGTTTGGATCTAATAGGCCCAAGGGTGACATGTATATTTAAGTATCCATTTTTCAAATATCCTTGATGTCCTTTAGTAAATTGTAAAGAAAAAACTGGACTTACAGGATGAAATATTTTTAACAAATAGGAATGATGATGGGAAAAGATTCCAGTGCGTACAATTTCTATCATCTTAATTAAAACCATGGATGAGATTTCCTCAACTACAAATTGCTTCTCTTTGCACTTGTATGGATTCTTCTAGGCGATTGAACATCACGATGCTCTAGGTCATATTCTTGCTGCTTTGGAGTGGGATATTGTTGTTGGGGCCTATTTCTAGGCTTTGAAGGTCCAATCCGATAAAAAATGTTGACGGGCATCTACTGGTCAGGTTCTTGTGCATATTCTGGGGGGAAGTTTCCAACCTCCTGTGCTAGGTTATCTCCAGATCTAGTTGGGGTATATCTTGAGGATACATCCATGCCTACTTCCCTCTCAATTGGGCTCGACTCCCTTGTTTGCTCTTGCTAATAGCCTCGTGTCATCCTTCTGATAAAATGTTTCGTATTGAGGAACTTGATATCTTGCTTGCCCATGCATCTGTACAAGTAATTGTTGCATATTAGCGTTCTGTTGGGCTATGTTTCTTTGTTTTCTGCCTTTTCCTCCACCTCCCTCGCTAGACGAGCGGTAGTGTCGCCTCGTCGATGCTGGTGGTGCGGTCAACGGGTGGTGACATTTGTTTCGAAAGACTTCCTCTTTAGAAGCCTCATGTTGATAGCCTCTGCTTTGGGAGCCATAATGGCTGGAACTCATGGTATATCGCTGATTTTTGCGTTAACAAATTCCAATTTTTTTCTTGATGTCTTTTTCATTTTGTTCTTTTCATTGAAGAAATTAAACCTTTCTTCAGGGCTCGGTTGTTGCACGATTTCTCTTGAGATGGCTTTCATCGCTAGGAGCAGTTTCTCACAGACGGCGTCAATCTGTTGGCCTAAAAAAATGCACCTCTGATATGTCAACAGATCCCAAGGCCTCTCATGTCATTGTAAGCTTTGTTCCTACATACTAGGACAATTGCTAGTCACACATGGCCTTCTCTGATGGGGATGGAGCCGGCCGTGCGCACTCTGATGGTCAAGTTAGCTTTGGGAGAACAAATGTGTGTGGGAGAGCTTTGAACGTGAGCCTCCAAAGTAAAAGGGGCCAGTTTTGGGAATAATGTAGAGAGTAAAGTTATAATATGGAAGTTTAAACTTGCATTACCTTGAAATGACACCAAATGTGAGCTTTTATAGTGTAAGAGAATGAGTAAGGACCGTCGGATGAAGACACGTGACCTCATTTACGTGATTGGAACTTCCCATAGTGGGCATTAATCAGAACTTCCCATAGTGGGCAATAATCAGTCATGGGACAAATGGTAATATCACTTTGTTATCCATAAATCCTAGCTTGTGGCAGTAGACTTGACTAAACAAGTTGGCTATGGCGGTTGCAGGGAGTTGTCATATCAATCATGTCAACAAATTCAAATACAAGATTTCCTGCCAGGTTCTTTCCTCGGCTTCGCCTCTGCTCGCGTATGAGGGTTCAGCCACGTCCCACGTGGGATCGGCTTGTGGACTGCAGGGGTTATAACAGATGTCATTAGGGTCCTTTTATTATGGTTACGTTGCTTTCAAATCGGATGATTGCAAATGTTTCTTCAAGACCAGGCATTGTGAAAGTCGGCGCTATTTTCATTCTCGACATGACAATCGAAAGAGTTGTCATTGCTAAGATTGCTATAGAGGAGGCTGTTAAAGATGTGAATTCTCATTCGAGTGTCCTTGGAACTAAATTTATGTTGAAAATCCATAATTCCTATTGCAGTGGATTTCTTGGAATAATTGGAGGTGATAGTCATCTAGAATTATCTAATTTGGATGTTGTGAAAATTTAGTGAGAGAAGAAAATTGAAGATGAGAAATAATATAATCAATATTTCAGTGTCAATAAGGGAAAACATAGATTAAACAGAAGATGGTAACATATTTGAGTTCTTCGATAGAGATATTTATTTAATTGACAAAACATAGATTAAACAGAAGATGGTAACATATAATGAATATTTTGGAATCAAGAAGAGAAAGACATTCACTTTGTGATTGCAGATACCAAACTCGTATCAAATCTTTGAAAAATCCACGAATGGTACATTAATATCAATAATCCAAATTTGGCCTCTTTAATTTCTGTCATATTAATAGATAAAACGAACAGATGATTTATGCATTGAAATGCTATATATAAATGTTGACTGTTTTGTTACACCCATGGAAGCAAGAACCCGATTTCGTTTGCTGATACTTTCCTCACATTTCTTCTTGCGCAAATAACTCTGCAAGCGCTCTCACATTCGCTATGCATGAAATCTGAAATTGCGTGCATTCCCAATAGCACTCTACCATGCAGTGTGCACTTATATTTTTCTCTCCCCCTTCTACCATGGCCATCAGAGCCAATGCACAAATTAAAAAGGCGACAATCAGAATCTTATTAATTGCGGCCATTCTGGCAAAGACGACGAAGAAAATATATTTTGAATTGATTTGATTCAAATGCATTGATGTAAAAGGCTCAATCTTCTCAATTATTTATAGAAGATGAACGAATGTGTCATTCAGTATTTGTATTTGTTAAGAAAGAATGCGTCTGTTCATAATGACTCGCCATTAAATTTATGTCTTTTTTGAGAGACGAAAGAAAGAAAGAAAGATATTTTTAAGTTTCACATAATTTCTTAATTTGTCTTGTGTCAACAAGAATTTCCCTCTAATTTCGGCATCGAGATATATTTGAAAAGGGTGAAAATCTATACGTTGAATTTTATTATTATTATTATTATTTTTAACCATTTGCGTCAAGACTCAAAAGAGACTCTAGGGGGACCAGACGATGCCATGGTGCGAATGTAGAAATTCATCGTTGAATATGTTTTTGAGACATTTAGAGAAGCCAGGTTATAATTATTGATAATAATGCAGAATTTCATCCGGAATGGTAAATGCATTAACAAATTGGATGCATATCTTTCCTTAATGATGTCAAGAGACTCATTGTGAAATACCATGGACTTAAAATTTGGTCTCAATGATTTTTCTTATTGAAAGAAAAAATTCTAAGTGAAAAAAAAAATGGAATTTGATTGATGACTTTGTTCGTAGGCAAATCTGCACTCTCGTTGGCTTTCGATGCGTGTAAAATTGATATTCAAGTATAGTTGGATGACAAAATTGAAATTTAATGAAAGATGAAGGATGAGATTGAAGTTAAAATATAGTTGGATGACCGAATTTGTATGTCCTAAAAGTTGAAGGATGAAGTTGAAAAATAGTTGGATGACCAAATTAAAAATTTAATAAAAGTTTAAGGATGAAATTGAATTTTAATTATAGTTGGATGGCCAAATTCCAAATATTTAAAGTACTAAATTGAAGTTAAATTTTAGTTGGTTGATCAAATTAGAATTTCCTAAAAATTGAAAAATGAAATTGAATTTAAAGTATGTGGATGACCAAATTCAAATTTCGAAATAGTTGTAGGATGAAATTGATATTCAAATTTCGAAATAGCCGTAGAATGAAATTAATATTTAAATTTCGAAATAGCATTTAAGGATTAAGGATGACCAAATTTAAGGATAAAATAATTGAAGGATGAAATTGATGTTTAAAATTAGTTGGATGACCAAGTTTGTATTTTGTAAATGTTGGAGGGTGAAATTGAAGTTAAAAAATAGCTGGATGACAAAATTCGAGTTTAGTAAAAGTTTAAGCTTGAAATTGAATTTAAATTATATTTGGATGACCAAATTCGATTTTCCAAATATTTGAAGGATAAAATTGAAGTTAAAAGTATAGTTGGACTATCAAATTGAATTTCAACTATAATTGGATGACCGAATTTGATTTGCATATAGTTAATGAATTCAATTATAGTTGGATGACAAAATTCAAATTTAATACACACACGAGCGCGCGTTGGATGTATAATTTTAATGAAAGTTGAAGGATGAAAATAATTTTAATGTATAGTTGGAAGACCAAATTAAATTTTCAGAAATTTAAACCATGATGTATAATTGAAAACTGATTTCATCCTTCGATTTTTCAAGAGTTCAATTTGGTTATCCAACTATTTTTAAAAATGATTTCGTCCTTCTATTTTTCAAATGTTCAATTTGGTAATCCAATTATTAGTTAACAGTAATTCCATCCTTTAACATTTTCACAAGTTCGATTTTTGTCATCTAGCTATAATTGAAAAGCAATTTCATCCTTTAACTTTTTCAAAATCTGAATTTGTTCATCCAAATAGTTCAAAAGCAATTTCATCCTTCAATTTATGAAAAGTTTGAATATGGTCGCAGCAATTTATCCTTCATTATTAACGTTAATTTGGTCATCCAACTATAGTCTAAAGTGCTATTTCATCCCTCAACTATTTAATAACTTCAATATGACCAACTATTATTTAAAATTAATTTCGTCCATAAACATTTGATGCAATTTCATCCTTCAATTTTATTTTTCAAATTTTAATTTGGTCATCCAACTATATTTATTAACTTCAATTTGATCATTCAACTATTATTTAAAAGTAATTTGATACTTCAACATTTTCAAAAGTTCAATTTGGCAATCTAACTATTGTTTAAACTCAATTTCATCCTTCGACTATTTGGAAATTCAAATTTGGTCATCCAACTTAAATTTAAATTCAATTTCTTCCTTCCACTGTTTGGAAATTGGAATTTCGTCATCCAATTATAACTTAAATTCAATATCATCCTTCAACTTTTATTAAATTCCAATTTGGTCGTCCAAACTATTGTTTAACTTCAATTTCATCCTTCAACTTTTATTAAATTAAAATATGGTCATCCATTTATTGTTTAACTTCCATTTCATCCTTCGGCTATTAGGAAATTCGAATTTAACCTTCCAACTATTCTTACACATAAATTTGATCCTTCATCTATTTGAATATTCCAATTTGGTCATCCAACAATAATTTAAGTGATTTCATCGATCAACGTTTATCATCCAAAAGTAGTTTAACTTAATTTCATCGATCAACTATTTGGAAATTTGATTTTGGTCATCCTTATTTTTACACATCAATTTCATCCTTCGAACTTGGAAATTTGAATTTGGTCATCCAACTAAAATTTAAATTCAATCTCATCCTTCATCTATTTGAAAATTCTGATTTGGTCATCCAACTCAACCAGAAGACGCCGTTAACTTGAGGAAAAATGGTAAAGTTATAGATTTTTTGCTCAATGATTCCATTCAATCGAAGGCTGAACTCCAAGAGTAATAATATGGTTTTTTTTGAAGAGCCTTGATAACGTATTTCATTTATATGGCACCATAACAATATGATTGATAACGTATTTTATAATACTTTTTCAATAAATAAATGTAGAGAATATGGCACTCATTTTGGGAATGTCCTAATGTTACGTTCAATGATGTATATTTGGCTTGATTTTGAAGACGACCTTATTATAAAACTCAAAGTTATAGATGCAGGTTGGCCTATGGGATTTGCCATTCTTGCAAGACACTTGACCTTGAATGGCAAGATATATTTTGACATCTCTAATTCAAATATAGTATCCACACTCCTAGCCCTCTTAGCTCTCCTGCCATATGCACATGAACGCACACGAAGAATGGAAAAGGAGATGCATTTAGGAGGTAGTTGACAATTAGGTAGATGCCATTAATTTCTTCTCCTGGTCAAACTTTACCAACCCCTAAATTCACACATATTGTACCCCATTTTTGTGCTTTCATTTTTGTGATTGCCCTACGGTCATAGTAGACAGTTTAAAAATCGTAAAGTTGATTGTTAATTTGTTTTCTTGTTTGTCGCTATAGACCAACAATCAATTCAAAGTTGAGGAGTCATGTGCAATATTGTGTAAAAAGTGTTGGTAGGTCAGGGTTTAACTTTAGATTGATTTAAAAATTTAAAATAATATTAAAGTAAGAAAATATTTTTCAGCTAGGCCTAAGCTTGGCATCCCCGCTTTCCCACGCTTTACGATTTTTGAAACACTGATTGAGCTTAATCAAAAAATCAATTTTTGGAAGATCAACAAAGCAATTAATGAAAATGGAAGTAACACAGTCTTATTCGTTTGATACATTTGTGATTAATTTGTAATTATCTTTATACTCTTATTCAATGGTTGCTATCTCCTCGGGTTGAATGACCAATTCACAATCTAAATTCACGGACAATTAAAAGTCTTTTTTTTTTAATCAATGTTTTCAAGAAAATTATATTCCTACCTTTTAAATTCGTCTCATTATATGGCATCTCCCACAAACATTTTACATTCAAAGTAAAATCAAAGTAGATAATTAATAATAACACACATAGCACCAATATTCCAAGGTACTTTGTGTTTGGGACCAAGGTATAATTGTCCATTAGGATGATCACAAACTTTATGTGAAATGTATGAATTATGCGTAGAACGAATGGGTACAAATATTAGTTGAGTACCCTCTGCACCTACTCCTTCCATTGATATTGAAGAAGATGACGCTGAAATTTTAACTTCATTCGAAGGCATTAACACGTATAGATATGATACAAATACAATAGGTTTATCTAGTAATAGTTTGTCTTCTGCATGTAATCAAACATCGGACTCAAGTTCAAATACATTGATTGTTGAATGAATCGATTACTTTAATCATAATATGCCTACCAACAAAACAATTGAAAAAAGTTCAGAAGAAGTTATTGAATTTTGACGAAGATACGAACGAAGATGGCCAGTAACTTTTGCAATTGCAAAAGAGCTACTGATGTGGTGCAAAAGGAATTGGACTTCATGGCAAAGTGGGACTGGCACAAGAAAAAATAATTTGGAGGAAATTTGGAATTATCCATTTTTGACGAATTTGAAATTTAATACGGTTGGAAACGGGCTGAAAAAAATTCTTTCGTTTAGACCTTCGTTTAGGCCTTTTTTTTTCTTTTTTGGTAATTCTTATTTTGAGTATATCTCAATCAAATAAATTCGGATTTACATTCCGTTTGTTGGAGAGCAATCCCGAAGATTAGGACTACTAATTTTCGTCATTATCTTGATTTTTTTCCATTTTTGGAAAAAAAAATTCTTTTTTATGATTATTTAATTATGGAAAAAAATCTTTTTTATTATTATTATTTAATTTTCGAAATTTCTAAGTTTTTGCTATAAATACGTTGTAAGCCTCTTGAGGTTGCCGATTGATTTGAATGAAATAAAACTTTTCGTGAGTTTTCTTCTTTGTGAGACTTGCTCATCTTCCCTATAACTTCCGCTACGTCAATTGGTATCAGAGCCAGGTTCGGTCCTTCACCATGCTGCCAAGGAGACATCCAGCAGCCCATGAAGCCCCAGTAAATGAGGTGAATAGACGTGATGAAATCGCACAGTTGCGTCAACAAGTGGAGTTGTTGACCCAATAAATCGCTGCATTCGCGCCACAGCAACATGTGCCTGTGGCCCAACCACTTGAGGATTCCAAGGATGAAAATTCTTTTGCACCTCTTAATCATCCAATAGATCTGCCAGTCCGACGGAGAGGAGGTGGCCCGGAGGAGAGCAGGCGTTGGGAATCAGGATTCAAGGTTGATATTCCTGAGTTCCATGATGGATTAAGTCTATAAGAATTCCTGGATTGGGTGACTGCAGTGGAGGAGGTTCTGTAATTTAAGGAGGTTCCTACTGGAAAACGTGTGCCTCTCGTTGCGACGAGATTTCGTGGACGAGCAGTGGCGTGTTGACAGCAGACAAAGGTGACAAGATCTCGATTATGGAAGGTTAAGATTGCATCTTGGGATAAACTAAAGAAGCACATGAAGAAGCAGTTTCTGCCCTATAACTATGTTCGGACCATGTATCAAAGATTGCAGAATTTGTGTCAAGGCATGAAAGCAATTGATGACTATACGATGGAATTTTACATGTTAATTACTAGGAATGAAGTGATGGAAATGGAGGAACAATTGGTGTCGCGATATGTAGGTGGTCTTCGTCCCCAAATACAGGACACACTGAACATGTTTGATCCCGTGATAGTTTCTAAGGCACATCAAAGGGCGATACAGATAGAGAAATAATAGTCCAAACGGAATACAGGGACTTTCACTACAGGGGGTTCTTCCAGTAACCCACGCAGCAGGCAACATGTCCTGGTAATCCTAGCCAGGCTGATTCTTCTAAGGCAAATCCTGTGCAGCCGTCAGCACGTCTTGGGGGCGATATCCGTTGCTTCGCTTGCGGAGGTGTGGGTCATAGGCAATCTGAGTGTCCAAAAAATTTGCTTAGAGGGCTCTTTGTTGATGATGGGTATGGAGATTATGAGGAGGTGCCCGTATTGGATAATGGAGATGATGAGGATTATGAGGAGGCGCCCGTATTTGATAATGGAGATGATGAGGAAGCAGCAGAAGAGGAGGAGTTAGTTGTTGGTGACGTGGGGGCAAGCATTGGTGGTGAGGTGGAGTTTTTTTAACTCCCCTAGACAACAAGAGTGACTGGTTGGGTAATAACATCTTCCAGTCCACGTGTACTGTTGGGGGAGGAATCTGCAAGTTTGTTATGACTCTGGGAGTTGCGAGAATGTGGTTGTTGAGGAGGTCGTTAAGAAGCTGGGTCTGTAGACTGAGAAACATTCCAAACCGTATAAGTTGGCTTGGTTGAAGAGGGGTAGTGATGTTGAGGTATCCCAGCGTGCTGTAGTCAGTTTTTCCATTGGGCCTACCTACAAAGATCAAGTTTTGTGTGATGTGGTGGAGATGGATGCATGCCATTTGTTATTAGGGAGGCCTTGGCAGTTTGATCGACACTCGCTGCATGACGGGTACACCAACACATACAATTTTCTGTTTGGGAGAAAGAAAATTGTATTACTACCCGACAAGAGCCTAGTAAAAGCAGTTGGGGACAGTACCAACTTGTTAACCAGAGCAAAATTTGAGATGGAGATGGCAGAATCTGGTGTAGTGTATGTGTTAGTAGGCAGGTCAGTCGATACTGAATAGGAGGTTCCCCACAGAATTCGTCCACTGTTAGAGGAGTTTCAGGAGGTTTTTCCAGACGAGCTTCCAGAAGGATCGCCACCACTTTCGGGATATTCAGCATCAGATTGATTTAGTACCTGATGCTACTCTACCTAACCGGGCGCATTATAGGATGAGTTTTACTGAACATGAGGAGTTGCGCAAACAAGTGGAGGAGCTTTTGGCGAAGGGGCACATCAGATAAAGTCTCAGTCCTTGTCCTGTTCCTACTCTCCTTACGCCAAAAAAGAATGACACGTGGCGTATGTGCGTGGACAGTAGGGCGATTAATAAGATTACGGTCCGTTACCGTTTTCCTATTCCTCGCTTGGATGAGGCCTTGGCAATTTAACTGACACTCGCTGCATGATGGGTACACCAACACGTACAGTTTTCTGTTTGGGGAAAAGAAAATTGTATTACTACCCGACAAGAGCCCAGTAAAAGTAGTTGGGGACAGTACCAACTTGTTAACCAGAGCAAAATTTGAGATGGAGATGGCAGAATCTGTTGTGTATGTGTTAGTAGGTAGGTCAGTCGATACTAAACAGGAGGTTTCCCATAGAATTCGCCCACTGTTAGAGAAGTTTCAGGAGGTTTTCCCAGACGAGCTTCCAGAAGGATCGCCACCACTATGGGATATTCAACATCAGATTGATTTAGTACCTGATGCTACTCTACCTAATCGGGCGCATTATAGGATGAGTTTTACTGAATATGAGGAGTTGCGCAGACAAGTGGAGGAGCTTTTGGCGAAGGGGTACATCAGAGAAAGTCTTAGTCCTTGTGTTGTTCCTGCTCTCCTTAAGCCAAAAAAAGAATGGCACGTGGCGTATGTGTGTGGACAGTAGGGCGATTATTAAGATTACGGTCTGTTACCATTTTCCTATTCCTAGCTTGGATGATTTACTAGATCAGCTTGCTGGTGCTTGTGTGTTCAGTAAGCTTGATTTGAAGAGTGGGTACCATCAGATTCCTATTGGACCTGGGGATGAGTGGAAGGGTTGTATGAGTGGTTAGTCATGTCATTCGGTCTTTCCAATGCGCCTAGTACTTTTATGCGGGTTATGAATCAAGCTCTTCGTCCATTTATCAAAAAATTCATTGTAGTTTACTTTGATGATATTCTGATTTATAGTGCTAACAATGATGATCACGTCCAGCAACCTTCGAGAAGTTCTTTCAGTCCTTCGTAGGGATGAGTTTTACGATGCATTGAAGAAGTGTACTTTTTTAACTGACCGTGTTGTATTCCTGGGTTATGTGGTGTCGAAGGAGGGGTTGGCAGTTGATACATCCAAAGTAGAGGCAATTAGTAAGTAGCCACAGCCTAAAACCATTACAAAAGTGCGAAGTTTTCATGGCCTTGCTTCCTTTTATCGCAGGTTCATACCACACTTCAGTAGTATCATGGCGCCGATTATAGATTGTATGAAAAATGGTAAGTTTCAGTGGACTCTCGAGGTAGAGGCATCCCTTCAGTTGATTAAGCAGAAATTGACAACTGCCCTAATTTTTGTGTTGCCTGATTTTACTCAGCCATTTAAGCTACATTGTAATGCTTCTAAGGTCAGAATTGGTGGTGTGCTGAGCCAGAACAATTGTCCTATTGCGTATATCAGTGAGAAACTCTTTGGCCCTAAGTCTTGATATAGTACTTATGATGTGGAGTTTTATGCGATAGTTCAGGCGGTTCGACATTGGCGTCATTATTTGTTCCAGAAGGAGTTCATTCTGTATACTGACCATGCTGCCCTTAAACACCTTGGTACTCAAGATAAGGTGTCTGCTGGGCATGCTTCTTGGGTTGCCTATTTGCAGCATTTTACTTTTGTAATTAAGCACAAAGCAGGTACCCTTAACAAGGTGGTAGATGCATTGAGTAGGCGACAAACGCTTTTGATAGAATTGCGCGTTGAGGTCCCAGGTTTTGACTCTATTTGCAATTTATATGCTACTGATCCACACTTTTCATAGATTATTCAAAAGTTACAGGAGAGTGTGCAGTCGGACTTTGTGTGGGTCGACAGGTTTCTTTTTCGGGGAAATCAATTATGTGTTCCTGATGACAATTTGCGACTTAAGATAATTCAAGAGTTGCATAATGAGGGCCACGTGGGTCGTGATCAAACATTACAGCTTGTTATGGCTTCTTATTTTTGGCCTTCATTGCTCAAAGATGTTGGTAAGTTCGTAGAGCGTTGTCGAACATATCATCTTGCTAAAGGGAAAGCGACGCATGCTGGTTTGTATATGCCCTTGCCTATTCCGACCTAAGCTTGGACAAACATCAGTATTGCTTTCGTCTTGGGACTTCCCAGGACTCAACGTGGATATAATTCTATTTTTGTAATGGTTGATCGTTTTTCCAAGATGGTCCATTTCATTCCCTGCAAGAAGACTACGGATGTTGTCAATGTAGCACTTCTATATTTTCGTGAGGTCTATTGTCTACATGGTCTTCCTGTTTCTATTGTGTCTGATTGGGATACTCGTTTCCTTAGTCACTTTTGGCGCATCTTATGGTGTTTGGTCAATACACGGTTGGTCAATCAAAATTATGTCAAGCCGAATTTGCTCACAATCATGCAATTAACCGAAGTACACGCTTTAGTCCTTTCCAGGTGGTGTATGGTCTTGTTCCTCATACTCCTCTTGATTTGGTTCCAGCTTCTGCTGTTGTTAAAATGCATGGTAAAGAGGAGGACTTCATTCAACAGTTGCAGCAGGTTCATTCACAGACTTTTGATCATTTGCATGCGGCTGTTACTAAGTACAAACATGATGCGGATCTTAAACGTCACCATATTGAGTTTGAGATTGGTGACTTTGTTTGGGCAATGTTAACAAAGGACCGTATTCCTGCTCATGAATATACCAAGTTTGCTGCAAGAAAAATTGGTCCATTGGAGATAATTGAGAAGATTAATCCAAATGCATATCGTTTAAAGCTGCCTAGTTATATTCGTACATCCGACGTTTTTAATGTCAAGCATCTGGTGCCATTTCATGGTGATAATTCTGATGATGACGTTATTCCTCCGCCAGATTCGAGGGCGAATTTTTATCAATCGGGAGGGAATGATGTGGTGCAAAAGGAATTGGACTTCATGACAAAGTGGGACCGGTGCAAGAAAAAATAATTTGGAGGAAATTAGGAGTTGTCCGTTTTTGACGAATTTGTAGTCCAATTCGATTGAAAATGGGCTGAAAAAAAACTCTTTTGATTAGGCTCTCGTTTAGGCCTTTTTTCCTTTTTTGGTAATTTTTATTTTGAGTATATCTCAATCAAATAAATTCGGATTTACATTCCATTTGTTGGAGAGTAATCCCAAAGATTAGGACTATTAATTTTCATCATTATCTTGATTTTTTCCATTTTTGGAAAAAAAATCTTTTTTTTAATTATTTAATTTCCGAATTTTCTAGGTTTCTGCTATAAATAAGTTATAAGCCTCTTGAGGCTGCAGATTGATTTGAATGAAATAAAACTTTTCGTGAGTTTTCTTCTTTGTAAGATTTGTTCATCTTCCCTATAACTTCCGCTACGTCACCTATTGAAGCCTCCGGTTAGCACTATAGTTTTGGAGTCTGCTTTTAGTGTAGGTAAGAAGGTTTTATCTGAGGTCAAGAGCCGTCTGAAAGAAGATACTTTGGAAATATTAATGTGTGTAAGGATTGGCAAGATGCTCATTTTCGACTATAAGATGAATATATTATTTTACGTGTATAGATCATTGAACCGTCATTTTTTGGATTATTAGGATAACATGAATGACCACCTTAAATGGGCTGAACTTGCCAAGTACTAACAACAAGCTTAAGCATGATTAAGTAAATCCCTACCTCAGGCTTAGTCTGGACATAGATGTTCGACAAGATACTTTCCTCTAGTCCTTGAGACAATTCTCCGATCGAGTAAATCCATTGAATCACTTGGTTTATGGAGAGTGAATATTAGAAAGACACAAGAAATGGTTTACCACAAAGGAGAGAAACCCCATCCACACAAGTGCATAACCCATACACAACAGATTTCTCAGAACACACAACAACAAACTACACTGTAAGCATGCAATTTCCACATTGTAATAAGTAGGGACTACAAGTGGACGACAATTCTTTTGTTAGATTTTAAGTATCTAAAACAATTATTAACTAAATGAATTAAGGATTGACTGAATAATGTAACCAACTATGATGCACACAAACACTCATCCTAGGTGGATTGCTAGTGTCCAATATATACACTATGTCGCATATCATGTTTTATATACATTTTTTTTTTCACATATCCAATAGTTGATGGAGACGTGTTAGTCATGCCACGTGGTGTGCCAATACTCTTACTTACTAATTTCTGACACACTAGGAACGCTCTCTTCATACGTCTGAAAAAATAAACCCCATTTTGTAAATTTTGGGATATAAAAAAAGGAAATTTTTTTATCTTTTGAGTTATCTGTAAAGAATTAAAATAATGCCAGTTTTATATTTATTAGGTTTTATTGTAATTGGCTATTCTCTAGACAAAATTAAAGTTATAAAAGAGTTACAAAGTTTAAAGAGTTATTTCGGAGGTTTTATAAGTCAATTAGGAGTCTTTGGGTTCGAGTATGGATCAAGGAGAAAAAGTAGTCAGAATAATGCTAGCTAGTTGTCCCTTTAGTGTTTAAGCACTACCTTGGAGAAATTAATAGAACTGTGCCACCCGCCTGGCTCTAGCTCATCGTTCGAGTGGTGGAGTCAATGCTCGCTTGGTTCGAGCCTAGCTCTCGAGCGATGCTGTTATCCAGAGAAATTCTATTTGCGATTTAAACAACTTAAATCCTAAACAACTCCAAACACTCTCTACTGTATATGACCAAGTCATATTCCATCCAGATGGGTGATTGATCATTATATTCTTCCTAGGAAACATCTTTTGAAGAGCCTACAACAATTCTATACCTTGGGATCTTTCAACCACAATTTAGAAAACATCAAATCTGAAATTCTCAAACACAAACAAAACCACCATCTTCTATATAATATGTCAGAGTCTTAAAGATCGAGGAAGGTGAATAGAGTTCCGATAGGACAAGAATGGAGAGTTCTTGATGATCTATATGAGAGAGACGATTTCAGGAGATTGGGAGCTAGTATAGGATCACACAGTCCATGAGGGCTTTGAAGATTACGGAAAGTAGGTCAGAGAGTACTGGGAGTAAGTCGAGTTTGGACCGTACTGTAAGTCAATTCATTTATGGTGGATATTACTGGCTTGGACCCAAAGTTTTTTGACCCTGCAAGGTTTCTCCATGATTATTTTGTTGGTATTATTTATTTTATGCAAATTACTAATTGTGGCACTTTAACATAAGTTAGACTTGCTTGTGAGTTCATGTAGATTAATTATTATTTGTGACTTGTTGCTTATAATAATGGGTAAATTTTAATTCCGCATTAATCACCTATTCATCTCCCTCTAGGTGTTAGTTAGGTCAGGACTTGATATTTCAATATCTAGTATACGTATGCAATTTTCTTGATAGTAATTTTGATGTTTGTAAGACTTGTGTAATTTTTTGGTCATTACAGTATTCTCTTATCCAATAACATGGAAAATGGAATTTACACCGTGCCAACCTGTTGATAGGATAAGCAAACTTCCTGAAAATATAATAGATGCCATTCTAATGTGTTTTACAACACGTGATACTGCACAGACAAGTATCTTATCAAAACAATGGAGGTATAAATGGATTAAACTACCTCATCGGATATTTAATGTTAAATTGTGGCAAGAATCAGAGAGTTTGCAAGAATTCGAGGTAAAAGAGAACTATGAAGTTCTTACTGTTCCTTTACCAGGTTCTTTTACGTCACCAATGACCCATAACTCAGTTTACTCTTGTTATTCCAAAGCCTGAAATCTGTTCACATGTTGACCACGTGATCAATTTCTCATCAAATTATGGTGTCTAAGAATTCATCTTTGAAATCGGTCAGGGATACAGAATTTTGTCTTCACTATTTATATATTTACAGTTAAAACATTTGAAACTTTTGCTGAATTTCCCAATTGAATTTGATTACTTGGAAATTGATGCTCTTACGCTAAGACTTTTTCATCTTCAATGTTTATGTTATTCGTCTATTTGTATAAAGAGATCCCAGCAGTTAGAGTTACTGCTCACGAGCATTATGAGGTTGATGGATTCAATTATGAAAATTGTAACTTCGTTGGGTTCTTTGTGTTGGGAATATACCTCCCAATTAATGCCCAAAGATCAAACTAAGTTGGCAAAGTGAAAATTTCCAAACCACTTGAAGAACAAGAA